GGGTGGGGGGCCGAAGGCCACAAGATCCGCCCCCCCCGGGGGGCTTGCCACAGGCGTGCCCGGCGTGCTACATCCAATCGCTCTTGGTTTTGGCTCTTTTTCCAAACAACTTTCCCCTGAGGTTCCGGCCCGTCCCGCCGGCCACCCTGGAGGCGCCCGATGTTCCCAAACAATTTCCCCCAAGATGGCTCAAGACGGGTTTCAAGACCGCCGGGAGGGCCAAGACGGCCTCCAAGATGCCTCCAAGATGGCCAAGGTGGCCTCCAAGACGGCCCGAGAGGGTCCAAGATGCTTCCAAGTCCGCCCAGGAAGCCTCCAAGACGGCCCAAGACTGCCCAAGAGTGGCCAAGAGGCCTCCAAGACGACCCAAGAGGCCTCCGAGAGGTCCTCCAGGAGGGCCCGAAGAGGCTAAAATCATTAATTGTCACCATGTGTTTGAAGGATTTTGCTCCTTTTCTGCCTTCCGACGGCCCAAGACCGTCCAAGAGGCCCCCGAGATCACCCCCAGAGCGCCCAGGAGGCCTCCAAGATGGCCTCAGGACTGCCCAAGAGGCCCCCAAGACGGCCCCAAGAGGGCCCCAAGACGGCCCAAGAGGCATGTAAGACGCCCAAGGAAGCCTCTAAGGCGGCCCTGGAGCACCCCAAGAGGGCCGCGCAACTGTCGTCACGTTCGTGGGCCCCTGGGAGGTCCCGCGGAGTGGTGGGCCACGGAGATCCAGTTGGGACCTCGCGGCTCCCTGGGGGGGGGGCTGCGAAGTGCTTAACTGTCGCCACTCTCGTGGGCTCCTGGGATGTCCCGCAGAGCTCGGAAAATGTCTGTTTATGCCGTTTGCGTTTCTTCGAGCGATGCGGTCGGACCTATCAAGAACACATGGCCCCCCGCAAGCCAAACTGAAGAACATTCGATGGTACCCCCCGGGATGCACAGGAGCATCCCGCAAGCAAGAAGGACACCAGGGTACCGTCCCCGAGCCGAGCCGATCTCGATCTCATACCTCGGCCCGACCGTACTTGAACACCCCGTTGCGGGCCTACTGTCGGCTCCGAGGCGCCCCCCCCAGCAGGCACGGTGCCAGCCTTGGCCGGAGAGGCCACGAAGAAGGCGGGCCGAAACGGCCCCCAAACATTTGCACACAAGAGACGCTCGGCAGGCACCAACGAGGTGCCTATGGTTTATGAAGAGGGAGCTTGGAACGAGGGTATATTCCAACATCGTTGACGGTTGTTGGCTTCACACTGGTCCTCCTCCTCCTCCTCCTCCTCCTCCTCCTCCTCCTCCTCCTCCATCCTCTTCCTCTTCCTCTCCTCTTCCTCCTCCTCCTCCTCCTCCTCATCCTCCTCCTCCTTCTCCTCCTAGTGCTCCTCCTCCTAGTACCGGCAGGCACCAACGAGGTGCCCCAGACTGCCCAGAGGAGGCCCCGAGGATGCCTCCGAGAGGCGCCCAGAGCATTCTGGGGGACGGCCGGGGCGCCCGCCCCCCCCCCCCCCGAGAGGCCCACGGGCGAGCCCCGAGGGGCCGAGGCGAGAGAGAGAGAGGAGGGGGAGGAGGGGGAGAGGAGGGGGAGGAGGAGGGGAGGAGGAGGGGGAGGAGGAGGGGGAGGAAAAGGGGGAGGAGAAGGGGGAGGAGGAGGGGGAGGGGAGGGGGAGGAGGAGGGGGAGGAGGAGGAGGAGAAGGGGAGGAGAAGGGGGAGGAGGAGGGGGAGGAGAAGGGGGAGGAGGGGACCTCACGAGGAGGAGAAGGGGGCAGCGCGCTGGGGAAGCGAAGCGGAGGGGCGCGAGCGCCAGGGTGGCGCGCGCCCCTCCGAGGGCCGCCGTGCCCGGTGGAGCACCGGCGCGGAGGCCGCGGCCCCAAGAGGGAGGGGAAGGGAGGGGTGGGGCGGCGAGGAGGAGGAGGAGGAGGAGGAGGAGGAGGAGGGGAGGAGGGAGGAGGAGGAGGAGGAGGAGGAGGAGGAGGAGGAGGAGGAGGAGGAGGAGGAGGGGAGGAGGGAGGAGGAGGAGGAGGAGGAGGAGGAGGAGGAGGAGGAGGAGGAGGAGGAGGAGGAGGAGGAGGAGGAGGAGGCGGAGGAGGAGGAGGAGGAGGAGGAGGAGGAGGAGGAGGAGGAGGGGGAGGAGGAGGAGGAGGAGGGGGGAGGAGGAGGCGGAGAGGAGGAGGAGGAGGAGGCAGGAGGAGGAGGAGGAGGGTGAGGAGGAGGAGGAGGAGGAGGAGGAGGAGGAGGAGGAGGAGGAGGAGGAGAGGAGGAGGAGGAAGAGGGGAGGAGGAGGAGGAGGAGGAGGGGGAGGAGGCGGAGGAGGAGGGGGGGGAGGAGGAGGAGGGAGGAGGAGGAGGAGGAGGAGGGGGAGGAGGAGGAGGAGGAGGAGGAGGAGGAGGAGGAGGAGGAGGGGAGGAGGGAGGAGGAGGAGGAGGAGGAGGCGGAGGAGGAGGGAAGAGGAGATATCCATGTCCACTGCTCCCTGGCCAGGCCCAGCCTGAACCCGGCAGCGGCGTGGACGCCACGCCCTCCTGGCTTGGCCAGGAGGGCGTGTGCACAGCTCCTGGGTCCAGAGGGGGCCTGGCCAGGGAGCAGTGGGGATGTCTAGGTCTCGTCGCCCAAAAGGGGGAGGCGGAAGAGGCGGAGGAGGGGGGGGGGACGCGCAGGGCAGAAAGGGGGGCCAAGTCGAGGCGAGGCGGGCGACGACGAGACCCACGGCTGGCGAGCCCGCAGGCGGGGCAAGGTACGGGAGGGAGGAGGGGAAGCAGCAGGAAGGAGGGAGGAGTGGAAACAGCAGGAGAGAGGGCGAGACAGGAGACAGGAGGAGCAGGAGCAGGAGGAGAAATAGGAGGAAGGAGCAGGAGGAGGAGCAGGAAGAGGAGGAGGAGGAGGAAGAGGGGGTTGAGGAGGAGGAGGAGGAGGAGGAGGAGGAGGAGACCCGCCGCTCCCCTTTGGCGCCTTGTTTGACATTGGCGAGGGTGGCCGCGTGGGGCACTCGGCGCAGGGGGGGGCGCGCCCACCGAGGGAGGGGGGGGCGCGCGCGCTGCAACGCGCCGGGGCCCTAGCCCCGAGCTCGGCCGCGGCTGGCGTCAGTTCCCTGTCCTCCCACGCCGCGCTCTCCCCCCCTCGTGCACGCAATAGCTGCGTGTCGTCATTTTGTTCCTCCCCACCCTCCTCCTCCTCTTCCTCCTCTTCCTCCTCCTCCTCCTCAACCCCTCTCCCTCCGCGGCTTTCGGCCACATGCATATATATATATATATATATATATATATATATATAATGTGTATGTATACATATATACACACATGCACACACATGTATACATATAAACTATAACCATCGCGCGCGTGTCGCGCGCGATTAAGTTCTAGACAAAGTATTGGCGGAGCCTGTTGCAATAGCGCTATATAGAACATCGGCGGAGCTTGCGAAATTAAATGTCGTGGGCCATCTTGGGCCTTAGTTGAAACTGTACTCGGACCATCGGGTGAATTCCCTTGGAATCGCACGGGGAATTTGGGGGAAATCTGGGTGAAGCTTCTTGGGCTGTTGGGGACTCGAAAGGGTGAAATCAAGCATGCGTGCCACCAGCACTAGGGGAACCGCGTCGGCGACGGCGTCGAGGACGAGGAGAAAAGGGGAGGACCGAAATGAGGAGAGACAGGAGAGACAGACAGAGAGATAAACAACAACAACAACAGCAGCAGCAACAGCAACAACCACACTAACAACAACAATACTAATATCAACAACAACAGCAGCACCAACAACAACAGTCACAACAATCACAACAACAACAACAACAACAACAACAACAACAACAACAACACCAACAACAACAACAACAACAACAACAACAACAACAACAACAACAACAGCAACAACACCACCAACAACAATAACAAAAACAAACAGAGAGGGAAGGGAGACCGGAGGGCGAGGGAAGGGAGAGCTGGAATCGAACCGTTTGGCACGCCAGCGCTAGGCACAGAAATAAATGGAGGGGCGGTCGAACTTGAGAAATATGTGGATGTATGGCAATTGTGGTCTTATATGTGTTTATAAATATACATACATACATACATACATACATACATACATACATACATACATACATACATACATACATACATACATACATACATACATACATACATACACACACATATATACGTATATATGTGTGTGTATGTATGTATGTATGTATGTATGTATGTATGTTTGTATGTATGTATGTATGTATGAATGTACGTCTCTCTCTCTCTCTCTCTCTCTCTCTCTCTCTCTCTCTATATATATATATATAACTTGGGGATCACATGAAACAGTTCAGCAGGAAGCGGGGCGAGGGATGCGAAGAGAGACCAGTGAAGGAGAGACAAGGAAGGAAAAGGGAATAATGTGGGGGGGAGGAACCGCCTCCTCCGAATTCGTCGCCATCGGGGATGTCCCTCGGTAGACTCCTGGGGGCGTCTGGGGGGGCGGCTGGAAAGTTTTCCTGGAGTCTCCTGGGGGCGCCCCTTGGGCCTCATGGGGCCTCTTGGGGGACTCTTGGGGGCCTTTGGGGGGTCCCTGGCGGAACTTCGTGAGGGCGTCTTGGAGCTGAGAGGCCTGCTGGATGCAGATTGGCATCCCTTGGGGCGTCTCTCGAAGGTCCTTTGGGTCTCTCTCAGGCCACGGGCGTCTTGTGGGGCGTCTTCGAAGCCCATAGGGGGGAGACGAAAACGAAGGGTTCGAAACGGGGAGCAGGATAGAGATTAGTCAAAACGGACAGCGAGGAATGGGCGGGCGGAAACGCTTTCTGGGGGAGGGAACGAAACAAGGGAACAAAACAAAGTGATGCGCGAAAACTCCATTTCTATTTCAAGATGGGCCCCTGACCCATCCGCGAGGCAGGAAGCTGGGCGAGGGGGGCGGGAGGAAGGTGCGAAGGAGAGATGAGGTGGAAGGAAGGGGGAAAGGACGCGACGGGGAGAAAGGGATCAGGCGAGCGATCAGGGAGAAGGGAAGAAAGGAGAGAGAGGATGTTTCGTGGCAGTCTCCCGAGGGCGCGCATGTTTTCACGACCTCTAAGCCGGAAACCAGCTAGGCGACACAATTACTCTAAAGACATGCGCCGGGTGGACAATCGCACCACACTCTCGCAGACCCCTCCCCCCCGCTCAGGCCAAGCACGGAGCAAAAACGGCCCGCGCGGTCTGCTAGATGGCCCACGCAGACTGCCAACTTACCCATGCGAGTATTACTTCGCATACCACGGCAGGCCGCCGCGCGCGATGCTTTCATCAGGGTATCCCTCCTCTTTATTCATCGTGCTGGCAAGGCCTTCATCACCCAGTACTCGTTTCCAAAAACAATCATATGCCTTCTCGCTAACTTCGCCCTCCGCGTCCTTGCATGTGCTCATCATATCCGTCGAGCCTTTTCCAATGAGACATTTCCCTCTTTTTCGAGCCTGTCAACCCTGGCATCTTCACTTCTGCAACTGGTGCAGTTACTTGCATATGTGTCTTTCCTGTCCCCTTCAGCTATCCACTCGTGGAAATCGATTGTTCCTTGTGCTTGTTTGAGCTCGAACTTGAGATCTTTGGCGTGCTGATCATCCATCTTCCCGCTCTGGAATTGCATGCGTGGCTTACGATGTTCAAGTAACCTCTTGATGAATGCATTGGCACTGTCTAGATAGATACCTGTCGCGGCGCATTGGGGCATGAGAAATCTTCGCGGCGCAATGCTCATTTCCCTTGTGGAAGCACCTCGTCGAATAACAACTCACATTGCAGCGGATGAGCCTCGACCCCCAGCTCCTCATCGTACTCGCCCCCCTCATGTTTGGCCAGCAATCAAGCAACATGGGCTCGAGCTCCGCGTTGGTCGCTCGACGCCAAGGCGCGGCGCCTCCACGCGGTGCTCGAGGCGCGCCGCCGCGGCTGGCGCCCGCCCGCGCGCCAGGCCAGAGCAGCGACATAATCCACGGACTTCACGTCGTCGATCAGATACTGGTTCACTTGCCAGAGATGGGGGCAGTCAGAATACAACGATAAGCTCCGACGGCGCGAGGTGGAGCGCGGTCGACGCGGGCGCAGGGCCAAGCTCTACGCCCCCATAGCACAAGGAAGGCATCCTCAAGAAGAGGTCGCTTTCGAGGACGAGGGCCCCAGCGCAGGCGGCAGCGCAGCTTCGACGCCGATGACTTCGCCGAGAGGCAGGTCACAGAGTGCCCAGAGCGCAGCCATGACACTCCTCGAGCAGGCGCCGACGGCGGCGAAGGACCCGCAACTCTTTGCTCGACCAGAAAGGGGGTCCAGCTGAAAGGGGGCGGTGCAGTCGGTCTGGGGCAATTGCTTTGCAAGTGCATTGCGCCAGAGAATTGCATTGCATTGCGTTGCAAGGGATGTATTGAACGCGAAACCCCAGCAATACATTTGCGCACTGGAATGTATTGCACGCCCCAAATCCATTGCAACCCCAAAAACCTATTGCACCAAATCTATTGCACCACCTCCTTATCGCTGGGCCCCCGTTTGGGTCAACCAGAAACTCAAGGAGGCCCTGGAGAAGCAGGTCGAGCAGTTCAGAGCAACCGCATCTGAGTCAGCAGGGTCGGCACTCCAGGCGTTCCAACGCGCAGATGGCGCGCCCCGCGATGCAAGCAATCGCCGCGATCCAGCCACCCAGGCAGTCAATCGCTTAGAGAAGAACTCGGTCCGGGAAACAGCCAAGGAACATAAGATCACGCTCGAGGTCGCCGAGGCCGAGCTCAACCGCAAGCAGGCAACGGCCGCCCAGCCGCCCTCGCACCTCAGGATGGCATATCCGGAGGTGAGTCCAGTCAGCAACAGGATGTCCCCAAGGAGCCGTTGAGCTAGCACTGGAGAACCTCGATTGCGAACCAACTGACAAGGAATAACTCAGGAAGCGCTAGGTGCTCGTCGACGCGCAGAAGACGCTCGAGGGCATGGCGGATCAGGCATCCAGCTGGGTCGAGCGCGCCAAGAACATGCAGGCCGACATCCAGGAGAGGACGCAGAAGAAGCGGACGCAGGATAAGAGCAGCGGCAAGGGCGCCGAGGCAGAAACCTCATCAGGCCCAGCAGCCCCAGCAGCAGGCGCTGCTGGTAGCTCCGCCGCTGCCCCCACCTCAAATGATCGCGACGCGAAGATCAAGAATGGGGCCGACAGGATCTCGAAGGCCAAGTTTGAGGGGCCGAAGCAGAAGGAGCCGGAACACACGGCGGCCACAGCGACGCAGCTCCAGGGGGGGACGTCGAGGACGAACCAGACCTGTGACTAGGCACTGCAGCCAAGTCCAGTATATCTACCAGCTCAACCTCTGCATGCGCTTCGGCCCCGAAGCAGCGCGGCTCTCCGCATGCGACGCGGACGCGGCCCGGGGAGAACGATGTCACGCAGATTCTGCACGGCAGCGCCACCGCCATGGGGGAGAAGGTGCGGCAGTTTATTCCGGGGGCTAGTGAGCAGCGCACCTCAGAGTTTGCTTGGCCAAGCGGAAGCGCATGTCTCGAACGCATCCTCGTCGTGCAACTGGTTGCCCAAAGCCCGCAAGGCAAGGCTGAAAGCTTTCGCCAACAGCGCGAGAGCGACTGGCCGAGCCTGCACGGTGCACGGCGCCGAACGAGCGACTGAGGGCGGGGAGTGCATCTTGGCGACAGGCCATCGCCGAGCGCATTCTGTGCTGCCCCAGATCTCACTTGCTGATTTAGGTCCGATGGCCAGCTCGCCACCGACGGTTTACGCGCAGCCCTCCTTCATATGTCTGGCTACTCGCACATTCTCGTCACATTCATGGGCTCACAGCCGTGGACCTCAGAGGAGACAATGTCCAACGTCACAGTCGTTTTGGAACTTATCTTAGCTTCGTTGCAATTACCACGGATCGCAGTTGGCGCTTTTAACACGTCATCGGACGCCCTTGCCGCCGCGGGCTTTGTCACGAGAGTCGACGGCGAGGTCCCCAAAGCACCCGTCGAGTGCGCATCCGACGCTGGCCAAGAGGGCAACCACATATATTATATCGTCAGGAGTCGTTCGGCTAGCGCATACTTGGCCCGCGCGGAGGCCATGATGGCTGCGCCGTGGAAAACCCACTACGGCTTTCGACTCACCGTGCGCTCTTCTGGCATGCAACTCATCGCGCGATGTCTCTAGCTGCCTGCGCGGCTGCCACAAGCAGAGAGGCCGCGGCAGGCAGCCGGGCCAGGTTCGAATGACCAGATTCAGAAGCAGCAGATTTGCGTCAAGCTTCAGCTAGCAGCCTCCAAGCGTCAGGAACGCTACAGATTTGTTTTGGCGATCCGTGACACTCGCCGAGCGGCCCCCCCACAGCCGTCCGCGCTGGGGTCGAGGCCGAGCCCGACCGAGAGCCCGAGCCGGCGCCTGCAGTTTGACGATTGCGAACCAGATCCGCGGGCCAACGAAATAAATTTCTGCGCTGGCACCGACTTAGGAACATCAAACCCGCCATCCGCTTCACATGGCTCGGCCGGGCACCCTGAAGGTTGACCAGGAGCTGATGCACCCGGCAGGTCGGAGATATCTGTCGGCAACAGCGCTGCAAGCTTGTCTCCAGCGGGGCGCGCCCAGCGAAATGCAGACCTTCGGACGCGCCGTTGTGGACGAGGGTAGGCACGCAGGAGCTGCACCCAGCAGGGAGGAGCCCACGTCGCAGCTTTCTAGCCCTGGTTCCCCCACGGGACTTCCGAAGGCACGCGCTCGCACGGCCGCGCCGTCGCGGACTTGGGAAGGAGGCCCGAGGCGGGGCCCAGCGCGGCGGGGCCCCTGTCATCAACATCGGCATTTCAGAGCACAGTCAGCAGTCAGCTCAGCAGCCAAGTTTCTCAGTCTGCTGAGCATCGGTCTTGGGCGCGGAACCCAGAGGCGCCGATATTCAGTTTGCCGCAGTATGCGCCATCCATCGCTTGGGGCCTTGCCACTCCTGACGCGCACGGTTCGTCCAGCGACGAATAAAGGCCCCCTGCCCCCGGCGAGTTTCAAGAGCCGCCCCCCCCGGGTGAAGGCGTTGCCCATGTTTCGTTTCACATCCCTGTCGGCACGTGGGTCCACGAGCACGCTGAAATGGGGGGGCCCCTGCTGCTTCAGCTGCGACCGTGGCTGCAAAGCTCGGGCGCGGCTCCATCGACGACGCTTCGTCGCCGCATGCATCGTGGGTCGCGGCTCTGGAACGGACGACGCATGAGCACCATGGAGCGGCAGGGCCCCCGTCATTGGGGCGAGCTCGCGGGCGTCGTTTCGAGGCGCAGGAAGTTCCGTTGCCCGGAACCGAGTGGTGCTATGTCGCGACTGGCTCCCGCCCTGGTGGGAGACAGTAATCAGTTTTGCAGAAATTGCTCAGCCATCGAGCTCGCGACAACGGTGCCATCCACCAGCAGCAACTCGAGCAGGCATGCAAGCAACCTGGGGAGCAGCACCAGATCAGGGGCGCCGCGGGCTCCAAGTGGGACCCGATCCAGCATGAAGTTCGGAAAGGCTTGTCACCATCTAGTGCCAAGCTGGCGGGGCAACCCAATCTGCAGCTTTTGTTGAGGCAGCCAAGAAGATTGCATCGAGATGTCGATGCAGAGCTTCGCGCGCATCTCTTCCAGATTTCATGAAGTGGATTACCACCCCGAGTGCAGCAGGCGCGCTGTTCGAGGCCACGAGACAGGACCCGGCGCCACCTGACAAACTACGCCAGGAAACCATGGTGCTGTTGGATCCTCGGGACCTCGTCGACCATCATGCTGAACCATCTCGGCATCTCTGAAGCATGCCGAAGGGTGCCCAGGACGATCGGATTTGGGAAGATTTCAGCGCGGCTAGGGAGGCATCGAGAGCTGATCCACTGGACGCGCTCACAGCGCACGAGATTAGGCAGGCCGCTTCCACCATGAACGCGCGAGCAATCCAAGGATATGACGTTTTAAGCCCCACAGATATCGAACTGCCGCAGCTGTGCGCGGCCATCGAAGAAACCCCGGCATGGCCTGCGCAGTTGGGGCTAACGATCGGGCGATTATTGGCCAAAAATATGGTGATAGCTTGATGGAGCTTCCCCCGATGACCGCGCGCATCTGTGGTCTCGCCAGAGAACCGCATGATAAGACTTGGGCAGCCGAGTCCGAACCGATGCGGGATGCCGCTCTCGCGGACAAGGCTGCGTCGCGAGAGGCGTTCTCGAAAGCCTCAGAGGAGGAGGCCCTGGGCACGCCTAACACTTCGTCGGTGCATGTGCTTCTGAACGTCCAGGGGCTTTACGATGCTATGCAATGGTTTCTACCCGTGCCGACGGCCTTGCGCTTGGGGCACCTGCCTGCAATTCCCCCCCTAGAACTGTCACAGCGCATCATGCCGAGGTCGCTGGGACAAGGAGGAGCTTTCCCCAAGCCCGTGCACCCGACGCCATCCATTGTCCAGGGCCTGCGTGGAGGCACGAGGTTTGCGAGATGCCTCGCATGTTGCATTTATCGCGCATGGCCAAAGCCCGCCCACGCATGGGCGCTCGGATTCGGGCGACTTGCCCCGGCGAGCACATGGGCCTTAAGGGGGTCCTTCGGCGGGCTTTGACCAAGGGGCCGTTGGACACGTGCGCGGCGCCCGCGAGAGACCGCCTCGCCGTCTCACCGGAGAGCTCGACATCGCGCGCGCATCTTCCAGATTCGCGGTAAATTTCAAAACGACTGCGCCTTGAAAGCTTCGGAGTCTAACCGCGCAGTCGAGCCAGATTTCTCGGGGTTGACTTGGGAGGGGGCAAACGGCACTCGCGACGACAACAAGTCAAACGAGAACGCGAAGCTGCCTGCGCGCATCAAAAAGTCGTTCGGTGCGCACGCGCATCGAATATATATATATATATATATATATATATATATATATATATCGCATTACATGTAAACTTACACGCGCTAGTACCATGGCCGCAGAGATGCACGGCCACCAGCAGCATGGAGTCTTCGGCAGTGTAAATGCCTGGGTGCCGTCGTCAAATGGGGCACGCGCGCGGATCTGGGAAGCGGGGGAAATGTCCTTCGACGTTGCTCGAACCTTCGTAGTCCACGAGGAGATCCAGGGCATGCCCCCCCCCCCCCATGCTCGCCTGGCTCTGCGGCTGCTGCATTTCCTCGCCACGCCGAGCATTCGTCTAGCATCGCGCTCGCCCGGTCGCGCATTCTACAACGGTTGGCCAGCGGCGCAGGGGCCACGGTTGGCCCGAGGGCCCGCTGGAGCTGTCATTCTACATCTCCTGGAGGCAGGATGGGCCCCCGATGGGGCCCTGACATTTGGGGGCCCCACCAGATTTGGAAGGCGATCTTGAGGCTTGTAAGTTCCCGCCTTCGAAGTTATCTCTCGAGCGCGAAAGATGCCCGCGCCCTTGCCCAGGCGGGGTAGCCAGAGGCGGGGGGGGCGACGCGCCGACGCCGACGGCGGTTGCATAAATGCAGATGCGACAGCCCATGGAACATTACAGGACGCTGTCTTCTCCGGGCATCCGCTGGCACCGAAGGCACTGGCGTTCCAATCGGCAGAGTGGCCGACCGCGCATTGGTCGCTCTCGGGCTAGAGTAGCTCGTTGGGAGGTGCGCCCACGAAGGCGCACAATCAAGCGCTCGGGGCGCGACGCGCAAAATGCGCCCTGGGCGCCCTGCAGGGCGGGCGCCGCTGCGACCCGGCGCTCGCCCCGAACGCCTGGGGCCCTGAACGCCGGACGCGGTCGCCAGGGGCTGCCCCCCGGAAAACCCGCCCGGCCCCGCCCCAGCATGGCCCGGGCACGTGCCGGGGGGCGCAGTCGCCGACGCGCGTCGATGGCGCCCCCGGACACGCACCCGCACCTAGTCGAGGTGGCGCCTGGTCGATATCGCTCTCGGGCGCACGCGCGGCCCCCGAGAGCGCCCCCGAACGCGGCCGCAGCGGCCCCCGGGGGAGCGCGAGATTGCAACGACGCTCCTGCGGGCAGGCCCGAACGCAACGGAGCGGTGGTGCCTGTCCCCGAATGGAACAAGCCCCACTACTACGACGCCGTTCTAAGCCCCGCGGACCCCCCCGATGCGCCCAGACGCCCCTGACGCAAACCAGGGCATGTCGCTGCGGTCAGGCGGCCAGCCGTTCAGCGCGCCGCTGCGCCCTGACGCGCGAATGCTGAAACGGCGCGCGCGGCGGGCTGATCGGGCGCAGCGGCGAGCGCCCAATCCAGCGGACGGCGCTTTTCACCCAGGCCGACCCCGGGTAAGGGTATGTTTAGGGCCGATGATTATCTGGCAATCTCACTGACGACGACCCCGAACCGCTGCCTCAGGCACGCCAGTGCAATCAAGGCCAAACAGTGGCGAGAGGCGTCGTGCCATTTTTGCTGCGAAGGAATGCAGCCTGGCATAAGTCTTCGTTGCGCAATCTCCTTCGGCAATTGCAGTCAGCGCGTCACGGCGCCAGGCTGAGCGAGCTGACGGTCTCAATCGCCGCAGGGGGGTCGTGGCCTCGACAGAGGCAACGGGGTGAAATCTCAGGCGAGCACGAGATTTCGTGTTCCAGGTGCCAGGTTGAACCAGAAGCCACGCGTCATAGGTGCAGGGGGCGTTCGGAGAATCGCGGGGCGAAAGCACACGAGGACTCCGACCATCTAACCAGTGCTGTTTTTCCACAATCAGACGCAGGGTCATGCTTTTAATTGAGAGGGCTGGCGTCATCAGCCCGCGCGCGAATTCCGCCGCCGCTGTCATTTGAAGCCCGGAGTTTGATTGGAGCGACTGGGCCGGAGCTTTGGGGGCGTCCTGGGACTGGCACGGAGTCACAACCCACGATTGTCTTTGGAGACGCTTCAGGAGGCAAGGACACTGGAGACACCAGGTTCAGGCGCGTGAGCATCGCTATTACAGTTCTCTCTGCGCACGACCCCTGCGTCATCCGCGCGGCCGTCAAAGTGCCGCTTGTAGGTCGTGAGCAGAGCGTGCCCCGAGGAGAACAGAACGGTTTTCTTTTGGCACTGGAGTGCACTGTTCAATTTCTCGCGCACGTTACCGAGTGCGAAGAAGTCGCCAGAGGTTGTCATGCCAAGGTGCATGAACGGCCGACGGGGGGCCCACCGTAATATCTCGAGTAACATCGGACGGCGCATGTTGACCCGACTGGGACTGGTCTCTGCGTTGTTCGTGAACTCGCACCTCACAGCCGAGCAGGTCCCGCGATTCAGGAACCCCATCGCGGCTCGTCGTCGGTAACCACTGCGTGAATGACCTTGCCGGCCAGGCCGCCGAGGAATGTCGCGCGCCCGACGAGGATCGGGCGACAGTCCAAAACGTCGAGCGCGCGGCCTAGCTCGTCAGACACAGGTTGCTGCTCAGCAACCTCGACGCGCTGCAGGCCGAGGAGCGGTGTGGAGCGCCCGTGAGGGCGAGTATGAAGGGGCCTCCTGCTCCTCCTCCTCCCGCCCCTTCTGGTCGTTTGCGCTTGTCTCTCAGCACTCCCTTGATGAGTCCATGCAGCGTTGCATTCGTTGCTGGGGTCGGCTCCTAAGGCGACCATGTCAGCATGGTTTGCGACTGAACGTTTTCATCCTCTTGAAGTGAATGATCTGTTCGGGGCCCTCCCTGTGGGGGGGGGGGGCGGTTTCACATGGCTGGGGGCTGGGTCGAGGGGCCACATAAGATGCGACTCTCGAAAACTCACAAAGTTTGGTTTTTCACTGGGTGTGGTTTCTTTGCGCATTCCCAGATGCGCGAGCTAGCCAAGCCCTGTCGGAATCAAATCGTCGCATATAGCCAGACTCGAAGAGGGTGAGTGGCCCAAGCAGCTTAGCATGGCTGAGCTGCAGCGCCGCTCGTAGTTCGTTCGACCACCATGCGGAATAGCTCGCAACTCGCAACTCCTGCTTGGCCAACTCCTCCTTCTGCTCAGCCTTTTTCTGCAAATCCTCGATCAGCTTGGGATTCTCCTTTATCAGCACATTCTGCTGCCGGGGTTACGCCTGCATCTCCATGGTCACCCCATCTTTCTCCACCATATGACCATTCATCTTGCTCATGGCCTGCCGAACCATCTCCGCCAACATCTCATGCAGCTCTTCTTTTGTCATCGTTAAATCATCATGTCGCCTCTTTGTATCGGTGTACTCGTGGTCCTTGGTGTTCGCATCCTCTTTCATCGCGTGCTCCTCCTTCGTATTCCCATGCTTCTTCATGGCCTCTGGATATGATGGCTCGGGCTCAAACTTTTCCTCCTCGTCCTCGGCCCATTGCTGCCACCGCGTTCTCGCCCACAGGGCCCGGGCGACTGCCGCAGCTCTTTTCCGCCGACGCTTTGCCGGTGTCAGTGGCACACCATTGATGGGCAATTCTTCCACCACCACCACCACCATATGTAGGACGGGGGAGGAGGGAGGTCAGGAGGTCCTCATCCCGTTCCTCTTCATCCTCCTGCCGTTCCTCCTCCTCCTCCTCCTCCTCCTCCTCCTCCTCCTCCTCCTCCTGCTCGTCCTCCTCCTCCTCCTCCTCCTCCTCCTCCTCCTCCTCCTCCTCCTCCTCCTCCTCATCCTCCTCCTCCTCCTCCTCCTCCTCCTCCTCCTCCTCCTCTCTCCTCCTCCTCCTCCTCTCCTCCTCCTCCTCCTCCTCCTCCTCCTCTCACCTCCTCCTCCTCCTCCTCCTCCTCCTCCTCCTCCTCCTCCTCCTCCTCCTCCTCCTCCTCCTCCTCTCTCCTCCTCCTCCTCCTCCTCCTCCTCCTCCTCCTCCTCCTCCCTCCTCCTCCTCCCTCCTCCTCCTCCTCCTCCTCCTCCTCCTCCTCCTCCTCCTCCTCCTCCTCCTCCTCCCCTCCTCCTCCTCCTCCTCCTCCTCCTCCTCCTCCTCCTCCTCCTCCTCCCCTTCCTCCTCCTCCTCCTCCTCCTCCTCCTCCTCCTCCTCCTCCTCTCCTACCTATGGTAATGGTGGTGGACAATGGGCCCATCAACCATCACAACATTGCAGTGGAAGGCGGGGCACACGCAGAGCGGGCCAGGCGCGGACAAAACAGGTGGTGCTTGAGCCAGCATGGCCCTAGCTTTCTGTGCGCCTTCACGAGCCAGCGGGAGCAAGGCGCAGAAAGATGTGAAACGGGGAGCGGGCGAGAGAACCAGCGGGAGCGGACAGCAGGGGTGGGGCGAGGCGGAAACGCACTCTGGGGAGGGTCGACAATGGAACAAAGAAATGATTTGCATGAGTCTTGTTCTCAAATTGGGCCTCCGACCACTCCGTGAGGCAGGAAACAACTGGATGATGGAGGCGGAGGGAGGAAAGAATGAAGGAGAGATGAGGCGGAGGGCGAAGAGAAAGGAACACAACGGATAGAGGTGAGGAGTGGAGAGGGATTAGGGAGGAGAGAGGAACGAAGATAGAAGATGTCTCGTGGCAGCCTCCTTGGGGCGGCTTTGGGGTGTCTTCAAAAACCTTCCTGGAGCCTGTGGCGGTTGTCTCGTGGGGTCTCGTGGGGCCTCTTAAGGGCCTCTTGGGGATCTCGGATGCTATCGGGGGACTCTTGGGGGCCTCCTGGGGGCTTCTCGGGGTCCCGCGGGTGCCCCATGGGCTTCTGGGAGCCTGTGGGCCTCTTGAGCGGCTACTGGGAGCGTTTCGGAGCCTCTCGAGAGCCTCTCTGGGGCCTCGTGGGCAGCTCTTCGAGCGTTTTCGGCTGCCTCTTAGGGGGGCCACTTGGGGAATCTCTCGGAGGCATCTTTGGGGCTCCCTTGTGGACCATGCGCAGGCCTCGGAAGCGCACCTGAGGCGAAAATGAGAGAACGCACCCCTAGATGCTTCAATGAGTTTGGCCTCTCGAGGGTTTCCTTGGAGATCTCTTGGGCGGTGTTGAGGCCTCTTGGCAGTGCCTTGGGCGCTCGTGGGGACTGCGTGGCCGTCGGGACAGTGCCCTGGGCCGTCGGAGAGCCCCCGTGGGGTCGCGGAGCCGCCCTGGGCAGTCCCGAGGCCCTCTCCGGGGTTCCCTGGGAGGCCCGGGAGGGCGGTGCTGGAGATGGGCCCCATGTGCCATCGAGGCGGGGGGCGCCCTGGGGGGGCGCACTGGCTTATCATATGTCTGTCTGTCTGTATGTATGCATGTATGTATCCATGCATGTACAGTGCGGTCGCGGTCGCAAGAAACCGTCGCAACAAAAAAAAAAACAAGCCTCAAAACCCGCGCGCGAGGTGCACTCGAGGGGAAGACCGGATCACCCTGAACGCAGCAGCTCCTTCCACGGCCGCTGGGAGTCACCACGTAGCGCGCGGAGCGAAGATACCCATGGCACCCTGACGAAGCGCATCTGGTTTCTTGATGCTCGTCCCCACGGTATGTATGTATGTATGAAATCATGCCATCCCAGCCGGGCCAGTATGGACACCTTCATCACCCTCTGCACCAAAAACTTGGCACCAACACGCGTTTATGACAAATCATATTTGTGCAAAAGCCATCACGCGCGCGCGCCGTCTGTCCCGAAAACATCAGAAACACATCATTTGTGCAACATCAGTTCAACAACAACGACGCGTGCTCTTGCGAATTGTTCAAAACACCATACACACGTGCTTGTTTTCAAAAGCTCCATCAGATGCAACCCAACAAACATCTCGCGCGCGCATGTCGAAATCACTCGAACGCCCTTTGCACGCGTGCTGAGGAGGTACGGCCCCTGTCAAATACTACCGTGCGGGCCACTCGTGCCCGTCGGCTGCGCGCGCATGCCGAAATTGTTCCAACACCTTCATCGCCGACGTTTGGACACCATTACCGTCATCTGCGTGAACAACATGGGCGCCGTCATTTGCCGTACCGTCGTCATCGTCATCGTCGTCATTGGCATCGCTAAAAGTCCTCATCGTGTCTGCCGATATCGACGTCGCCATGATACCGCGCCCGCTCGAGCCACCGACTCGCACGGAAGTCCCCGCTCGCCAGCGCGGCGTTCGAGACGCGCCAGGAAGTCCCAAACGGTCAGCGCCACCGCGGCCACGTCGGTCGCGCCACTATAGGTCGCCGCACAGCGCGCAACCCTCAGCGCCAAGCAGGTGTCACAATTGCTGCCTCATGGGTTTGCAAACCAAGTTGCGGGTGTGTGGGTGGGATGATTGCGAGAGCGTGGAGTTGACACCTCACTAGCTAGTGAGTATTGGTTAATTACTTCACCTAGACTGCACCATGAAGATCTGCCAACACCCCCGAGGCCGAGAATATCAGCCCACCTGGGGATGTGCACACGATTCTGCCCCATCGTTCATTCGAAATATGAAGCCATACCATCCTTTGCAAAAAAACACTGTGCGAGCACTCGTTTCTTACACATTCTCCATGTTCTACAATTCATTACAAAAAATGGGACGAACGAAATGAGCACTTGCGCATCGTCGCACGCGCATGCCGAAATCCTTCACAAGTTCTGTGAGGAATTCAAAGTGAACTCTTGCAAAAAATACGTTCTTCAAACATGTTCATCACATGCGCCCAAGCGGGCCTCTCGCGCGCGCATTTCGACATGAATGCTCTGTTCTTGGGTCTTCCGGGCGTCCGAGACCGCCCAGGAGGCCAGAGAAGTATCCCAAAGTTAACCAGGAGGGCTTCCACGCAGTCCAAGAGGAGCCCTCAGACGGCCAAACAGGGCACCAAGATAGCCCGGAGGGAGCCCCGTGACGGCCCAGGATGGCCCCAAAACGACCCCCGAATTATTTCAAATCGTAGCCCGTTCAGGAAGACCGCGGTTGGAAGCAGGGTGGCCTGGGGAAGCCCCCAGAGACCCCAGAAGGAACCCAGGAGGCCTCCAGAAGGCCCCAACAAGCCCTGAAAAACTTTCGTCAGGCCCCCAAGATGCTCTCTTAGGATGAGCCTCCGCAGAAAGAGCTGAGCATGGGGGCGGATTCGCATTGTAGGGTCAGAACGAGGAAGAGGAAGAAGAAACATGAGGGAAGGACGACGAAAAACATTGTTACAACGACGATGCCTGAAAAGGCAACAACGAGAAATCGATACATGTTCCATTTTACCTCATTGCACTCCCGCCTGCATGCCGAACCTCAAGGACCAAAGTGCATCGCACGCAGCGCGAATGCAGCCTTTGCATACATACATACGTAGCACCCCGCAATTGCGGGTAAGAGTGAGGGGGCGGGCGCGGGCGACGCGGGGGTCGTCAAGCCAGCGGACCTCGTGGCCCCCACCTTCCGTGTCGATGGCGCTCTCCTCCTCCTCCTCCTCCTCCTCCGCCTCCTCCTCCTCCTCTTCCTCGTCCTCGTCCTCGTCCTCATCGTCATCGTCGTCGTCCTCCTCCTCCTCCTCCACCTCGTCCTCCTCCTCCTCCTCTTCCTCCTCCTCTTCTTCCTCGTCCTCCCTCTCCCCCCCTCGTCCTTCCATCATCGTCCTCCCATTGTCGTCATGTTCCTCCTCGTCGTCCTCCTCTTCCCCCCTTCCCGATCCTCCCCCCTCCTTCTTTTCGTCGTCGTCGTCGTCGACGTCGTCGTCGTCGTCCCCTTCTTCCTCCTCCTCCTCCTCCTCGTCCTCCTGCAAAAGCAGCCCGCCGCAGGCGCCGAAAAAATTGGTTTGTACACTGAACGTGGTTTGGGTCGCGGGTGGGCCGCGGGTTCTCCACCGGGAACGAATGCAAAAGATGCCCGCCGCAGGCGCCGAAAAATGCGGTTTGTACCCTGAACGTGGTCGCGGGTGGGCCGCGGTCTCTCCACCTGGAACGAATGCAAAAGATGCCCGCCGCAGGCGCCGAAAAATGCGGTTTGTACCCTGAACGTGGTTTGGGTCGCGGGTTGGTCGCGAGTTGATCGCGGGGTGGGTCGCGGGCTCTCCACCTGGAAGGAATGCAAAAAAAGCCCGCCGCAGGCGCCGAAAATGTTGGTTTGTACCTTGAACGTGGTTTGGGTCGAAGGTGGGTCGCGGGTGGGTCGCGGGGTGGGTCGCGGGTGGGTCGCGGGTGGGTCGCGGGGTGGGTCGTGGGGTGGGTCCGGGTGGGTCGCGGGTGGTCGCGGGTGGGTCGCGGGGTGGGTCGCGGGGTGGGTCGCGGGTGGGTCGCGGGTGGGTCGCGGGTGGGTCGCGGGGTGGGTCGCGGGGTGGGTCGCGGGGTGGGTCGCGGGTGGGTCGCGGTGGGTCGCGGGTGGGTCGCGGGGTGGGTCGCGGGGTGGGTCGCGGGTGGGTCGCGGGGCGGGTTGCGGGTTGGGACGACGACAACAAACAACAACAACAACAACAACAACAACAACAACAACAACAACACCACCACCACCAACAACAACAACAACAATAACAACAACAACAACAACAACAACAACAACAACAACAACAACAACAACAACAACAACAACAACAACAGCAACATCAACAGCAACAACAACAACAACAATAACAGCAATAACAACAACAACAACAACAACAACAACAACAACAACAACAACAACAGCAACAACAACAACAACAACAAGAACAACAAGAACAACAACAACAACAACAACAACAACAACAACAACAGCAACAACAACAACAACAACAACAACAACAACAACAACAACAACAACAACAACAACAACAACACCAACACCAACAACACCAACACCAACACCAACACCAACACCAACAACAACAACAACAACAACAACAACAACAACAACAACAACACGAATCCGCACCGCGGAATCCCACTTCAGCCACGCACCCAGGGACAGTGAATGACCGTTCGGCCCCCTCACTCTGATGAATATATAATAGAACCATACATATGAATATATAATAGAACCACGCGCGCACTTCGCGCGCGCTTAGGTTATAGCTAGGCTTCACGGTCGAACTTTGAAGAACTCCCCCTCCTTCCCCAGAAACTCGAGGCGCACTGGATATGGATAGAAATTCGACCCGTAGAGGCTCGGTTTTCATACATATCCAGTGCACCTCGGCCTTGTGGGGCCCCCTCGACAGGGGCATTCCCAGACCCTCTCGCGCTGTGAAAAAATCGCGACGTGAGGAAGAAGAAACAGCAGCACAAACGAAAACTTTTGCGGAGCTCCGCGCGGATTTCTTGGATCCACGCTGGGCCGACCCGGCGGCGCCTCCGGCGCCGCCCCTAGCGCGTTCCGCGCGCCAGGGAGGGGGGTCCAGCGCAGATCCAAGGAATCCGCGCGGGGCGCCAAAAGTTCATGT